TGTGTGTGTGTGTGTGTGTGTGTGTGTGTGTGTGTGTGTGTGTGTGTGTGTTAATTTAGACCAAAAGGTCTGGGAGAGACTAAAGGCCTAAGCTTCTCCCAAAATACAGAGCGTTGTCAGCCTCTAGCTGTGCTACGTCACGACCAAACAAAGTAGAAACTGCAGGCTCGTGTCACAACAAGGGGCGGCTACCATGGTAATCACATTCAGCTGTTTGATTGATTAACCTGTCGCACTGAAACTGAAGGCATCGAACATGAATTCGGCCTACAGTTTCAGGCATCATTCGCTTTCTTCCCCTCACACGTTTTGTTTTGCTTTTTGTTTTTGTTTTTGTTTGTTTTGAATATGAGCTCGGTATATGGTTTCATGAATTAGTTTATTTCTCTTTCCTTTCCTCATATTATGATTAATTGTTTTGTTTTGGTTAGGTTTGGTTTTAGTGTGATTAGCCTTATATCGCCTTTCGCTGTGCCTCGCTGCTTAGGGATCGGCTTCAATAAAATATGATTCTTTAAGTATAGATCGATCTGTGATGTCGGAATCACCCACAGAGCTGCACCGTCATTTCTCTTGCACAAATCTAATACGGGGTGCCCACTACGGCCGGATCGACTCGGCCGGCGTTTGTGGTGAGACAGTAGGCCCTATATGTGAGGCAGCGTGGTGGAATCAGGCTCTCGTCAATTTTGGGGCATGTAGAGTTATTGGTATCATCTTAAAGCTTGTTCACTTGTCTTTATTTGGAAGGGAAAAAATATCCATTTATCTTGAATACAAGTCGAGATATTTGCGAAAGAATGGGGTGGGGGTCACCTGTTTTCAGGGGTAAAATTAGTGAGAAAATGGCCGCCAAAGATTAGTTTTTTCCTTAGCTTAAGAGTCCGTGGTAACTAAAAAGTTACATTTTTTGTGCCTTTAATCAATGTTTTTCAGAAAAATCTACACAGAAATGAGTTCTTTAATGGACATGAAAGGTGTTGAACCAAAAAACAAAAATTTGATAAAAGTTTTAAAAAACCTTTCTCGCACCCTTTTGAATGACACTGCAGGCTACCTCTAGATCTAAACCACAAGAGACCCATTTTTTTAATTATCAAAATTGTGTTGGTGGGGGCGTAAAACAGGACAATGATAATAACAGA